ATAAATCCAGGGTACAGAACAGACCATTCATTTATAAATTTTACCATGAATATTGAAAGAAACACCAAAAGGAAAACCTATTGGAAATTTAACAACTCCTTGCTACAAGATCACAAGTATGTTGAACAAATAAAACAGGTAATATCTGATGTAAAGAAAGAATATGCTATACCAGTCTATAATCAGGATGCCATTGACCAAGTCCCTAATGATAACCTGCAATTCCAGATTGATGATCACCTTTTTTTGGAAACTCTCCTCATGAAAATTAGGGGCAAATCAATAGCCTATTCTTCATTTATAAAAAAACAAATGACCAAAAAAGAAAATGACTTAACAGCAGAAATTGATGTACTAGAAAACAATAATGATGAAAATACTGCTAATGATTTAGAAACTAAAAAGATTGAATTGCAACAATTGCGAAAAAAAAGATTAGATGGTATATTAGTGAGATCAAAGGCAAGATGGATAGATGAAGGTGAAACTATAAGTAAATATTTCTGTAATCTGGAAAGTAGAAACTATATCAGCAAAAATATGAAGGAAATAGAAACAAAAGATGGAACTGTACTAAATGACACCAAGGATATTATACATGAAGCAACCAATTTCTATCAAAACCTGTATACTTCTAGAGGTCACATGATTAATGATATAGACCTTGATGATCTACTTCTAGAATATGATGTTCCTAAACTTAAAACATCTGAATCTGATTTTATCGAAGGATGTATTACTAAGAATGAGTTGCTAGCAGCTCTTAAAAGATCCAAGAATAACAAAAGTCCAGGGTCAGATGGTTTTTCATATGAATTTTTCAAAATGTTTTGGCTTGATCTGGGAGACTTCATACTTAGAACAATTAATTATAGCTATGAAACTGGAAACTTGTCAATCACCCAGAAGCAAGGCATCATCACCTGTATCCCCCAAAAAGATAAACCGAGACAATTCATAAAAAATTGGCGCCCGATTACCCTGTTAAACTCCATATATAAACTTTTATCTTCTGTGATTGCAGATAGATTTAAAAAAGTATTGCCTCAGATAATCAGTAAAGACCAAACTGGCTTCATGTCTGGAAGATATATCGGAGACAACATCCGCCTGATATATGATCTACTCTTATACACAGAATCTAAACAAATGCCAGGTATGCTACTTCTAGTTGATTTTGAGAAAGCATTTGACTCTGTCTCCTGGTCTTTCATCTTTAAAACCCTGAAATTTTTTGGATTTGGCGAAAGCATTTCTAAATGGATATCTATACTCTATAAAGATATCAGGTCTAGCCTAATTATAAATGGAAATATGTCACCTTGGATACCAGTCGGCCGTGGCTGTAGTCAGGGGGATCCATTATCTCCTTATATTTTTCTGCTTTGTGCAGAAATTCTCGCAATTCTTGTGAAAAAAAATAAAGATATTCAGGGCTTAACTATAAACGGTAAAGATTATTTAATTGCGCAATATGCAGATGATATAGAATTTCTTTTGGACGGTTCTAAGAGATCCTTCGAGGCTACCATAGACACTCTTGATATCTTTGCAAATATCTCTGGATTAAGAATAAATTTTGATAAAACTCAAATAATCTGGATAGGCTCCAAGAAGAATAGTAATATTAAATTTAGACAAGACTTAAACCTTGAATGGAACCCTGAAACCTTTAGAATTCTAGGCATAATTTTTTCTACTAATCGAGATAAAATGATTAAACTTAACTTTGAAAGCAAAATCTTTGAAATTGAACAAACCATCAAGAGATGGATGAAAAGAATTATAACCCCATTAGGCAAAATTGCAATTATCAAATCAATGCTCATTTCAAAACTTAATTTCCTTTTCCTTACCCTTCCTAGTCCCCCAGATGAATTCTTTAGAAAGATAAATACTATTCTTTTCAAGTTTTTATGGGATAATAAACCAGACAAAATAAAGAGAACAGTTGCTTGTAAACCTATTTCCCTTGGAGGACTTGGTGTGATAGATATTTTTGCATATGTTGACGCTTTGAAAATAATCTGGATAAAAAAGTTACTAAATGTTGATTTGGAAAAGAAATGGAAAATTTTAATGACTGATACTACTCCTGAATTTCCTGATCTACTATTTATGGGAAGTGATTTTCCACTTAAGTTTGCTAAAAAAACTAAAAACCAATTTTGGAAAGATTGTTTTACTGCCTTATCTAAATATAGCAATAAAATAAAACCCAATAATTATGAAGAGTTCCTAAGGGAACCTCTGCTATACAATAAAAACATTATTATAAATGGCAAATCACTAGATAACAAAACCTTTCATCTCAATAATATACACAGCATACATTGCTTGCTAAACAATGATGGAAATTTTATGACATTGCAACAATTCTGTAATAAATACTTCAATATAAATTTTCTTGAATTTTATGGTATTACAAGATCAGTAAATACATACATGATACAATTAGGCATTAATAAAGACCTGCATCTGGAAACAACAAACAATACAAATATATCTATTGCCAATCTCTTTTCATGTAAAAAAGGCTCAAAGAAATATTACTATGTAATAAGTCAAACTGATGAAAGCTTAAAAGTTATTGACAAGTGGGAAGAGGAACTTTTAATGGATATGAACTGGCCTAGCTTATTTATCAGAGCGCACAAAACTACTCCAGACCCTAAACTTAGATGGTTTCAGCTTAGATTGCTCCACAGAATTCTACCTGTTAATACTTATCTACTCAAGATGCATATTGTTGACAACTGTCTATGTACTTTCTGTAATGCCGAGCCAGAATCTATCCAACATCTGTTTTGGGACTGTAGGGTAAGCAAAAATTTCTGGAAAAGATTTTCACAATGGATTGAATCCAAGTGTCCACATACTGGCAAGATAAATCTTACTTCAGACCTAATTCTTTTTGGCTTTTCAAAACAGTTCCACACTGATGATATTTTGGATCTGATACTTTTATTGGCCAAATTTCACATTTATAGATGCAAAATGAAAAATAACCAACCAACCATTACACATTTCCAAAATGAGGTTAAATATTATTACCAACTAGAAAAATATAGACACTTTAATAAAGCCAAACAGACTGAATTCTATACGAAATGGGCTCCTTATGAAAACCTTTTGAAAATATAAACATTTGCTATTCCAAAACTTTACTAAATATATATCCTGCATCCTGTCTTCATAAGTACTAAAGCTTCTAGTGAGTGTGAATGTGTGTATGGATGTGTGCGAATGATATGTACTTTCTGAAAAAACCCTGGTCATGTATTTTGACTCTCATCCAAACATGATGTACTTTTACCAGGAACAATAAAAAAAAATAAAAAAAAAATAAAAAAATAATAACTTCAGAGGTTGCATATTTAATCATTAAACATAAACTATACGAAATTGGTGACAATATTCAGCACACAAATGCAACACAAGCCCCGGGGATTTTATGAATACATCTTCCGTCTAGATTGTAACATATGAATGTTTCGAGCTAGAAATTTATTTTGTATTGAAACACAATGTAAAGAAATGTAAAATCAAATGATAAAATGTTTATCCCGCGGATGCGTGTGTAAAATATTTTATAAACCTCCGGTGACGTCATCCTATTGTTCTCCAGTAGGGTTAAATCTCAAAAACAGGGACGTTGTAATGTCCCTGGGATTTTATAGGATATTCAAGTCATATTTGCTATATAATGTGTTATAATATCCCAGGGATTTTATATTATGTCCTGGGTATTTTATTAATATAACTTCCGTTCAGATTGTAACATGTAATGAAATGTCAAATCAAATGACAAATGTTTTCTTTAAATTCCCGAGGATCGATGGGTTGAAATTTACATGTAGTTTGGGGATAATTTTAAGGTTCAAAATCGGTTTATAAGTAAGATAAAACACTTCCCCTCGGGTTGTTGTGATATTTAAAACCCTTTCCCTCGGAAAATCCCTCGGGATGCGGGGTTTAAATATCATAACAACGCTCGGACGTGTTTTATCCTATACACAAAAACCCTCGGTCGTGCTTTTTCTTAAGCATACAACGCAGTTGTTCATCTTTACAGAATGATATAATATCGTACAGTGTCTACATTGTAAACAGTTAAACACGCAACACTGTTCAGATTCCGATCAGAGACTACTAAAAAGATTTTATTTTCTATTTTATGGTCTCTGCCGACATGAACAAAACATGAAAGAAACCTATATAATTGATCTACTCTCAGTCTCCAAAATATTATCCTATTCAAGCCTAATTAATAGCATCACCTTTTAAGAAATGAGTCGCAAGCTCCGGCGTTTATAAAATTTAAACTCGCACGGTTCAAAGAGTTCATACTCCAGTAAATCAACACGCTATTCAAAACGATATTCCGCGTTCTCATTTTCAACTGAACACTTTACAAAAACGTAACCAATATGATGACACTCGGGTGTTATAATCTTAAAAGACAAATATTGTTTGATTCCGGATGATCAAAGTATATATTTCCAATAAAAATCGCCATATATAAAACTATGTACGAAAATTTGTTTTCATGTAAAAGACTACATTGATCTTCAAAACTGTGTACAAGATTACCGAAAATTCCGTATACGAGGGGTTTGTTTTGTGTACGAGATTATCGCAACCCGTCAAGTTTTGTATTTAATATCCGAGCTCGTCATGTACGTTAAAATATGGTACTTGTTGTTACCCTGTCTGGCGCTCGGCATTAAGGGGCTAAAACAAGGACTGGTCGGCTCGGAGTCAGTATACTGTGTCTGAGTGGGGTATTCATGTTAAACTGCGGCATGGTATCTCAGTGGGCTAGCACAATAAATCGGCATCAGTCCGGACTAGTACAAGCAGCCACACACACACACACACACACGTGCATGCACGTCGCTATATAAGTGCAATAATCTTGGACGCGACGTTAAACCCAATTTCACCTCACCTCACCTCACTTGAAACCAGTCATATAGAATTCATTTTCCGCATTAACTGCAATCCCACTTTTGCATACTTCCGTACGTGAGTTGATTCATGTGCTGAAACGAACTTTGATCATTATACACTCCGAGAGGACAGGGAGCTATTATTCAGATCTGTGTGACGAAACATTGTGGTTACTATAGAATAAGAACAGGTAAGAATATGGCGGACACTAAGAGACGAAATATCGCATCTACCCCTACCGCAAATGGGTTGTCAGTAAGCACCGTCGCACCAGAGCCATATGAAAACAAATCGGACGATGTCAACAATCTCGATGTTATGAAGGATTTTAAGCCTGGGCCTCTGGATCTTTACAGAAAAAGGGCGTCCTTTGACTGGAAACAGATGCGACTATTCATTGACGGTGAAGATGTGATCCGTTTTAAGGTAATTGAATCGATCAAAGTGTTGATTAACTAAGAAATAAGGATATAGGCCTATATATTTATTACATGAACTTTTTTGGTTTATAGGACCTATATTATTTTGTGATAAGTTGTCACTTATATTATTTTTCATATGGTGTAAATATTATTCACTTGTCACAGATCAGTGATGTTGCATTGTCGGTTTTATACTTGATGTTAGGAAAAAACAGGCCTATAACACAACTGGTCAGTCAGTGACAAGAAGAAGACTGGTATGGCTAATACACTACTTTGTTGATCAGCTCGACTTTTACTTGGTGTAGATATCGCCACACTTTCATCATATGTTGTGTCTTGGAACAGGCGTTTAAAATGGATCAGGTGGTCCGACACAGTGACTTGGTTGATTGCGCGTCATTGTAGCATGACGCAATGGAACATTGCTCATAGACTTGATTATTTACAGGCCGCCATCACATGGGTGACCAATTAATCTATAACCATGATAACGTTGACTTGTATGATGGGGACCCAATCTCATTAAAATCAGGCCTTAGTTCTCGCTACCGCTAAACAAAGATCTGAAGACATCCCATTAGGGGTCACGTCAGAACGACCTTTCATCCGACCAATCAGAGCGTCGCTTACCAGATCATGAAAGTGACAGTCGGAATGTGATTTCTAATCACACAACCTCGAAAACTTTAACACAGGGTATTCCGAACGAGAGTTACGGGTTTAACAACTGAATCCATACAATCTAGACTATCTATTAGCCATGCCAGAATGTTCTTTTGTTTAGGTTTCAAATTTGTAATCGAGAATTTATCAAATATGTTTCGAAGCGTAGTCGGCAATTTGAAATTAGTGCCGTAAAGCACAAGAAAGCTGCCTTCTGATTGGTCATTCCATTGGTTGGTCAAAGTTCGCGCAAGGCCGGTCTGACGTGACCCGTAATGGGATGTCCTCAGATCTTTGTTTAGCGGTAGCAAGAACTAAGATCTGATTTTAATGAGATTGGATGGGGACCCATTCTAACACAGAATCCCCAAAATTGACCAAGGGGGGGCTCTTTGTTAAAACCATACACAAGTTACAAGTTTTGTCAGAGATCGAGCAGACTTAGTTCAAATGTCCTTAATACTGAAACTTTTTGATAAATTATCGTTCACCAACTAGTCTTAGACTATCTTCTACATTGCTGTTTTTACTGTAACATTCTGTATTTTTGATGATACTGTTTGTCAAGTCTTTGAAAGGTTTTAGAAGTGATACACAAAAGGAAGAGAATTTATGGATGTCAACTTCTTTATTATCATGATTATGGGGAACACAACGTTTCAGAGTATATACCTACTCCTTCATGAGGTGAATGAAGGAGTAAGTATATACTCGGAAACTTTGTGTTCCTCATAATAAAGAAGTTGACATCCATAAATTTCCTTTTGTTCAACATGTTCAAGTAAATTTTTGTTCTTAATACATCATAAAGCTTATAAAGTGTTCTTAAACATACGGGGGCACGGGTGGCCAAGTCGTCTAAAGCGCCGCGATTCGCTGTGCAGAGTTGCGTTCCTTAGGCTCACCAGAAGCCTTTGATTGTGGGCTCGAATACCAGTTCGCACCGATTATGTTTCTAGGTTTGTCAGCACCATACCCGTGCTCGTGGGTTTCGCCGAAGTGGTAAATGTCTGAGACCTGCATTACTTCGGCCTACCTCCCACATTAAGCTGGCCGTGATATAACTGGAATTCTGTTAAAAGCGGCGTTAAACCCAACTCACTCAGTCAATCTTAAAAATACAATTAAGTCTAGCAGTTGATAAGGTGGCGCTTAATACATCCGATATGGAATATTGTGGCCAAGGTGCTCACTTTGACAGACAACTCCTTGTTTCAAAGCAGTACAACTGCACTCCTTGACTCGGGATAATAAGGTGAAAGGTTTGTAATTACAATCAGTTACTGATCAGTTATCTTGTGAGGCCATTACTTGCCATGACTGATATGATGATATGTGGATATACCGGTACATTAGTACAACTGGACTTTGTATATCGAGATTTCTACAGATTGACACAATGGGAGTCCAGCAGAAGTGCAACTATCATGCAGTGTTTTAAATGTCATGTTATTCAAGGACATTCACATACTGCCGTCCTGTGAAGATCTGGGGTAGAATGGGTCTCCAACAACCCATGCTTGTCATAAGAGGCGACTAACGGGATCGGGTGGTGGGCTCGCTGACTTGGTTGATGCTTATCATCGTATCCCAATTGTGTAGTTTGATGCTCATGATGTCAATCACTGGATTGTCTGGTCCAGATTTGATTATTGTTGCTGATGTCATTCTGGCAGTCCTGAAAGCCTGAATTTGTCAAAATGTAATTCCCTTTCTGTTCTCTCGTCAGTGTCATAAGACAACCAGTACATCTTGAATCATTTAGTAATGGGGCCTTTGGATGGCGACCTTTGTTCCTCCCGTGTGCGACCATAAAATTTGCCAGGTCGTCGTTGGTGGCTCAAAGGAGGCAGAATGGTTGCTAAGGTCGTTACAAGGTGGTACACAGGAGTTTCAGACATTGCGATGGACGCAATGGTCGCCGTGATTTTTTGAACATGTTCAAAACAGTCGCTCAAAGGCATTGCCGTTGTTGCAGAATGAAGGCACAGTGGTTGCCCAATGGTAGCCAGGTAATAGATGTGTTCTACTGAAATATTTTCCCGTCAACCTGGGTGATGCTTCTGCCTCCCTTGTGTCTCCTTTGGGCGACAATCAGCGTGCATTGAACGGTGACTGTGGCGACCACCGTGCCTCCATTCGGTGACCCCCGCAACCCTTGAGACACCATGGCAATGCTTCTGCCTCTTTTCTGCCTCCTTTGAGCTACCTGTAGTGCCTCCTCAGCCTGCCTATAAATAGAGGGCTTGTACCTGCAGTGTTCCATTGTGGTTATAGACGCTGAACAACTTGAGCAGTTACATAGAAACATGATTTTCTGGGTTTAGGCAACCATTGAGCGTCCTGGCCAGTTTTTGATCACTCAAAGGTGGCACAAAGGTCGCAGCCCTGTGTAAAGGGGCCTTAAGTTCATATAAATGTATTTCTACCACAAAGCCAACCGCCTCCGTTGTCTAGTGGATAGAGCGTCTGCCCGAAGAGCAGAAGGTCAGGGGTCTTCACACCAAAAGACGTTAAAAGATGGTACTTGTTGTTATCCTGTCTTGGGCTCGGCATTAAGGGGCTAAAACAAGGACTGGTCAGCTTGGAGTATACTGTGTCTGAGTGGGGTATTCATGTTAAATTGCGGCATGGTATCTCAGTGGGCTAGCCAGGGCTAGCACTATAAATCGGCATCAGTTCGCACTAGTACAAGCAGCCACACACGTACATGCACATTGCTATATAAGTGCAATAATCTTGGACTCAACGTTAAACCTGATTTCACCTCACCTCCTGGAGGGAAATGATGTTAATTATAGATGATGTTTATCATACAAAGCCTGATATTGCAGGGATTTATCTGGACATACACAGAGGCCGATATTCTGTCCAAAATCTGCATCAGATGATAGCAAAAAAACTCAATTTAATTGAAAATAAAAAAATCCCATTCCCTCAGAATTTACGAAAATAAGATCATTAAAATAATCTAATTTTGAACAATGTCATGATTTTATCCCAAATTGCTTGACCATGGCACTTAATGTGGAATCCCAGATTGATTCCTGTATTAATATTCGCACAAGTAAATGGGACCGACACACGGTTGATGATGGATATACATAACAAACGAAGGAATGATCAACCACAATGCAAAGGAAGGTGGTAAACTTGCTACAATACCACGGCTGATTATCAAGCTCTTGGCAGCAATGTTTATGTGGAAGGATATGCCATGTGAGTTTACATGCAGGACAGGTATTACCACAGTGGGAGACAGGAGTTGAACTTATTACAAACACCATCATGACAGGTGATAGATGAGTTTACATGCAGGACAGGTATTGCCACAAGGGGAGACAGGAGTTGAACTTATTACAAACACCATCATGCAAAGAGATAGATGAGTTTACATGCAGGACGGGTATTGCCACAATGGGAAACAGGAGTTGAACTCACTACAAACACCATGATGACAGGTGATAGATGAGTTTACATGCAGGACAGGTATTGCCACATTGGGAGACAGGAGTTGAACTTATTACAAACACTTCATGCAAAGAGATAGATGAGTTTACATGCAGGACGGGTATTACCACAATGGGAGACAGGAGTTGAACTCACTACAAACACCATGATGTCAGGTGATAGATGAGTTTACATGCAGGACGGTTATTGCCACAATGGGAAACAGGAGTTGAACTCACTACAAACACCATGATGTCAGGTGATAGATGAGTTTACATGCAGGACGGGTATTGCCACAATGGGAGACAGGAGTTGAACTCACTACAAACACCATGATGTCAGGTGATAGATGAGTTTACATGCAGGACGGGTATTGCCACAATGGGAAACAGGAGTTGAACTCACTACAAACACCATGATGACAGGTGATAGATGAGTTTACATGCAGGACAGGTATTGCCACAAGGGGAGACAGGAGTTGAACTCATTACAAACACTTCATGCAAAGAGATAGATGAGTTTACATGCAGGACGGGTATTACCACAATGGGAAACAGGAGTTGAACTCACTACAAACACCATGATGTCAGGTGATAGATGAGTTTACATGCAGGACGGGTATTGCCACAATGGGAAACAGGAGTTGAACTCACTACAAACACCATGATGTCAGGTGATAGATGAGTTTACATGCAGGACGGGTATTGCCACAATGGGAAACAGGAGTTGAACTCACTACAAACACCATCATGACAGGTGATAGATGAGTTTACATGCAGGACAGGTATTACCACAATGGGAGACAGGAGTTGAACTTATTACAAACACCATCATGACAGGTGATAGATGAGTTTACATGCAGGACGGTTATTGCCACAATGGGAGACAGGAGTTGAACTCATTACAAACCCCACAGCTGTGAACACTTGCAGATGATCCCGCCTTTGTACTGTTATCTGAGGGACGAGATGATATTGTATGTATTGTGAGTGACAATAGTGCATGGGATTAAATTGCAGAATGTTTAAAATGAATTTACTTTCCATCAGTTTTTGTGAGAAATTATTGATATGCTGTTATTAAATATTCTGTGTCAAGGTACGTGATCTAGAAGAGTTGCATGTTTGTAAAAGCATGGATTTCAATAATGGACAGCTGGTAGTGCTGATGAATAGAGAATAAAATGCTGCAAATCTATGTGAACCAGATTGAGGGTTGATTATGGTCTAGTTTAGACAGAGGTCAGGATTAGTTTAAAACCGCGATAGAAACTGACTGTTTTACCCCTTTTGATGATAACGTATAGCAAAACCCATTAAAATGGCCAATTTCTACTAGTCCTTAGGACACCTTAACTATTGGGCAGTTTGGCAAGGACTATAGGACTTGTGCCAGTTCTAACGCTGAGATGGATCTTGCAGAGTGACATCCTTGTCAGTCACACACGGCGGTAGGGCAGCCTAGAGGTTAAAGTGTGTGACTGTAACCGGGTTTCATTCCCCACGTGGGTACAATGTGTGAAGCCCATTTCTTGTCCCCCGCCATGATATTGCTGGAATATTGCTGAAGGCGGCGTAAAACCTAACTCACTCATCAGTCACATAAGTTGTGAATACTCAATATAGACGACACATGTACAACCATGTACTGTAAATCTTGAAATTAACGAGAGCGTGAATTAAATGAGAAAAATGCGAGTGGTCTTTGCTCGCATTATTAAACATCGCATTTATGTCAACAAGAAGACATTTTTGGATAGCAGAAATACCAACTCAGATATACGCTGAAAACAAACAACTATGTATTACACATCACTGTTTATTGAGCAGCACTTGTAACAAGTATATAAACAATGCCATTCAAACACTAATTACATCCTGTGAATTGTCACTGCTTGGGTCAAGACAAGAGTTCTACACACTTAGGTCATCGCTGATCACACCTGCAAGTCCAGGCAGACGCCACCCACGTAACACGGTGTCTTTGTTCTTTGAAACTGCGTCAAAGGTCAAAGGCCGACACGAGCCAGCGTGTATGTATTGTTCTTGTGGAAGTACTCTACTCAGCACTAATGAGCGGTGCTATTTGGTGTGTGATTGGATTAATGTAAGGTTGGTTGAGGGTGAGGATTCTCCTGTAAACCTGACAGAGGACATTTTCTTAAGATATAAATCCACTGATGCTTGAGAGGAGGGGGGTGTCACATTCATATTGAGTCGCATTTTTGGCTAGGGGCCAGTGGTCGCATTCTTTTGGAGACGCATTAATTTCACGATTTACAGTATTTGATAAAACATTGATAAGAGAAATATGTGCAGAACATCTACATTAAAACCAGGAAAACTTCATTTGTCTGCGAGGAAATCTTGTCTTTGACCTTTTACATTTGTTTTTGATGATTTTAAGGAGGACATATAATATCAACTAACATGTCGGCTGACTTTAGCATGCAATTCAAATATTAGAAATCCTGTGAGGCATGACACATGTGACCGGTGACCAAATGTTATGCCTTGCCCCCCAAACATTATTACCGACAGGTACGAGGACTTGAACATAGACCCATGCAAAACTCTGGTGAAAATCTTTTCAAATCTTAACTTTTCCATCTCTTCATTTCAGAACAAGATTTGGAAAACACTGGAAAATGACCCACTGTTCTCAAGGTCATACTCCACACCAAGTCTGTCCGAGACACGGAAACTGGCTTTTCAACGTGTGCGACAGATTTTTGCATACAACTTTCTCCCTGACTCTGAGTTGTACACCAATCCCCTGAGGCACAAGATCCTCAGTGACAGTTTGGGCATGTACGACTGGAGCATGGGGGCCAAGGTCCAGCTCAGCGTGGAGGTAGGTCGCGATCGGGAACCACCATTCTAGCCTTGCTCCAAGGCTGTACTGAAATAAGTCCATGGATGTCTAGTAGTTCTATCCTCTTAAAGGCAAGTCTAGATATGTGGACTAAGGACTCAAGTCTCTTATTGGGACAACTTGTTCATATTATTACATAATTTAGAAATTATGGTTTAAACTAATAATTATTGCCTTAGAGACTTGTGCAAGTCTAGCATCATCCAGGCATTACGAGTAACGAATACATACTGAAGAACTTGCTAGCCATAACAAGTTTCATGTCTTCATCTAGGTAAATTGCCAGAGTGTTATCTTGAAGTCCTTTTCAGTTTGGGCTCCTTTGTGTTTTCTCACCTGAAATTAAGGTTTAAGGGAGGTTATGTCGATCCTTCCATCTGTCTGTGTGTCGTAAACCTTTACCTTTTGCGACTTCCCGATGGAAACAACAAGGCCTATGGTTCTGATACATGCAGAGGTACAGATAAGCAGCGTCTTTGCATAAAATACGCCCAAAAAATATTCAAAACTCAATTACTTTCAATTAACTTGCTTACAGAAACGCATGCATGAAATGAAAAACTCAAATGTATAAAAACAGCTTGCATAAATACCCAATGATGCTTTTTCAGCATGCGTACAAAGGCGCTAATTTCTGAAGCAAAATTACGAACTTATTTACTTTCCAAGTCAAGCCTTTATATTTAGAACAGTTATATGCATCTTAAACATTATTATTGTTTTTTAAATCTTAAAATGTTAAAAAATATTAAAATGTGAAAAACCTAATAGAGTGATGAATAGATGAGTGAAACAATATTGATTACCAAATGAAAAATGTAATAACCCAATTGAAATAGAAACCCTAGAGTTAAAAACTCAATTGCTCAAAAAGTTATCTGGAGCTCTGTCCATTGCTCGGATGATGGTGTCCTGCACAAGTCTGATCTGATTTTAAATATTTTTCTCTTGACCCTGAAAAATTCTAATGTTGTTCAGAGAATTGTGTGAATTGAAGTGTTCTTATGTTGGCCTGTTAGATGTTTGGTGGTGTGGTCACGTCCATGGGGTCTCGCAGACATGAGCAACTCATAGAAGATAACAAGAAGTTTGAGGTGAGAGGTGAAGCATGTGGACTCATTGTCCAGGGCCCAGAGATGTCTGATTTGCAACTAGGGGTGAAACGATACATCGATGCACCGGTGCATCATGGGTTTTCATGTGACGATACGATACACGAAACATTTTTTCCTGTATCGATACAAGATAATACACTTGCGGAATTAAATTTAATGATATTTTTGTCAGTCAGATAAAGCAAAATGTGTTATAATTGCATTTCAAGTTTACTACTAAAAATAGCCGCTACGAACATGTGTCTACAGCTAGCTTTTTCTTTTGAACCTGCTCTGAAATAGTTATTGTCAAGACGTTTCCATGCGATTTGACCTAAATATGTGTATCGCAATACATATCGTATCATGACCTATGTATCGTGATATATATCGTATCGTGCCCTTGTGGTATCGTTTCTCCCCTATTTACAACCATCATTAGTACTTCCCAGGTTTATAACTCACACTATGTTCCTCCATCACCCAAGGATACAGATGATTTGAGCAGCGGAAGAACCAACATTTTTAATCCACTAGTCCTTATAATGATAACATATAGCAAAACCCTTAAAATGGGCCAATTTCTACTACCCGGTAGTCATTTAGGATACCTTGTCCACCGGACCGTAAGGGGTTAACCGGCGGGGCGACTAACGGGATCAGGTGGTCGGGCTAGCTGACTTGGTTGATGAATGTCATTGTATCCCAGTTGGGTGGATCTATGCTCATGATATCAATCTCTGGATTGTCAGGTCCAGACTTAATTATTTGTTGACTGTCGTCTGGAAAATTGCTGAGTGCGGCGTTTAACAACAGACAAAAACAAAGTCAGAAGTTTAGGGATATCCACATTCATTCTCGTCTTGATACACTGTATGTGTCTACCTGTAACTGGTGTTTTTGTTAAGTATGTGAATGTTTTGTGATCTTTCAGAATTTTGGATGCTTTGCTCTGACTGAGTTGAGTCATGGCAGCAACACGAAGGCGATGAGGACGACTGCGACCTACGACCCCAACACCAAGGTACTAGGAGTTTGTTAATGTTATAATTTTGATTGAATAATAATGTTCAGGTTGAAGATTCAGTATATGATAACTCGCAGCAATGGAACTTGTATGTAACTGGGGACATGTTTGAGATTTGATAACACTGACAGTATTTCAATAATCTGATTAGAATCAGATCTTAGTTCTCACTACTGCTAAACAAAGATCTGAGGATATCCCATTATGGGCCCCAGATTGAACTTTCATCCGACCAATCAGAGCATCGCTTGCTGGATCGAGAAAGTGTTTTCTAATCATGCAGCCTCAAACTGGTTAATACAGGATTTTGAACTGCAGTTTTGACTGATTTCATTGAAATCATCATCTATCTCTTGCTTCAATGGGATAGACATTTGAAACTTTCCAGAGCCCGTGGGAAGAACTGCCGTACAATATTAGCCATCTATTAGAAATTCCAGAATTTTGTTCAGTTTCAAATTTTGAATCAATATTTTTCAAAGTGTAGTCTGGAATAGAAGTTGTCAGTTTGAAACTAGGGCTGTAAAGATTGGCTTACGTCAACTTCTTCTTTATCATTTCATTGGTCGGTCAAAGTTCGTGGAAGGTCGTTTAGACATGACCGGTAATGGGAGGTCCTCAAATCTTAGAGTAGTGGTAGCAAGCACTAAGACAATGTAAGATCCGATTTTATTTTTCATTGGGGATTTCAAAACTTTAGAATAGGCAACCAGTAAACCATGCTGGTCGTAGTCGACTGAATGGATTGGGTGGTCAGACTCAGTGACTTCTGTGATAGCTTGTCCTCGTACCCTGATGACATGGGTCTTTGCTCACAATATTAATCACTGGTTTATCTGGGACCCGTTCCACTAAGCGATATTAGCGCTAAGATGATCGTAACTCCCATACTTTAACATAGGCTTACGATGATCGTAGCGCTAATATCGCTTAGTGGAACGGGTCTCAGATAAACCAGTGATTAATATTGTGAGCAAAGACCCATGTCATCAGGGTACGAGGACAAGCTAAGCGCTAAGATCGCTTTGTAGAACGGGATCCTGGTCCTCACTTGATTACTTACAGGTTGCCATCATATAGCTGGAATATTGCTGAGTGTGGGATTAAAGAACAAACAAAAATTAGCCTTATAACTTATTGTGATGACCTGATGATTTCAGGAGTATGTGTTGAACACCCCAGATGTGGAGGCGACCAAGATCTGGGTGGGGAACCTGGGCAAGTCCGCCACCCATGCTGTGCTGTACGCGCAGTTGTACACACCAGATGGCTCCTGTCACGGGCTCCACACGTTTGCGGTTCCTGTCCGTGACCCGCGGACACTGCTGGCGTACCCTGGGGTGCTCGTCGGGGATATGGGGGAGAAGATTGGCCTCAATGGTATTGACAATGGGTGAGTGTGCAGATATTCAGCTTGAACCAACAACCTGACCCAGGGATTGACCAGGGAACTGACCAGGGAACTGACCCAGGGACTGACCCAGGGACAGACCCAGGGACTGACCCAGGGACAGAGCCAGGGACTCACCCAGGAACTGACCCAGGAACTGACCCAGGGACAGAGCCAGGAGCTGACCCAGGGACTGACCCAGGGACAGACCCAGGAACTGACCGAGGAACTGACCCAGTGACAGACCCAGGGACAGACCCAGGGACAGAGCCAGGAACTGACCCAGGGACTGACCCAGGGACAGACCCAGGGACAGACCCAGGGAGATCCTGAAAGCATAGCTCAATGCTTACACTGTCAGGATATCCTGAACTCAACAGCATGGATCTGTGCTTGCACTTCTTGATCCAACAGCATGGATCCACGCTTACACAGTGTCAAGATCTCCTTGATCCAACAGCATAGATCCACGCTTACACAGTGTCAAGATCTCCTTGATCCAACAGCATAGATCCACGCTTACACAGTGTCAAGATCTCCTTGATCCAACAGCATTGATCCACGCTTACACAGTGTCAAGATCTCCTTGATCCAACAGCATTGGTCCACACTTACACAGTGTCAAGATCTCCTTGATCCAACAGCATGGATCCACGCTTACACAGTGTCAAGATCTCCTTGATCCAACAGCATGGATCCGTGCTTACACAGTGTCAAGATCTCCTTGATCCAACAGCATGGATCCATACTTACACAGTGTCAAGATCTCCTTGATCCAACAACATTGATCCACGCTTACACAGTGTCAAGATCTCCTTGATCCAACAGCATGGATCCACACTTACACAGTGTCAAGATCTCCTTGATCCAACAGCATGGATCCACGCTTACACAGTGTCAAGATCTCCTTGATCCAACAGCATGGATCCACGCTTACAGGGGGTCAAGATCTCCTTGATCCAACAGCATGGATCCACGCTTACAGGGGGTCAAGATCTCCTTGATCCAACAGCATGGATCCACACTTACAGGGGGTCAAGATCTCCTTGATCCTGCAGCATGGATCCACCCTTACGAGGGGTGTTCATTAAAGATTTCCCCTAAACCACTTAGGGTTATCAAATTTGGTTGAAATTTCACATGTGTAATGATACATGTATCTATGGGTTATGTCTGAATTTGCAGCACCGAACTATTAATCTTACCACTTTTACAGGTGTTATGATCGAGTAGGGTGTGACAATGGAGCCAGTAGAATACCAAGCAGTGATTAGGTTTTTATATTTGAAAGGTCACACACCAAAAGAAACTTTTGATGAAATGAAAGCAACTTATGGGGAAGATGTCCCATCATATGACGTTGTTAAACACTGGCATCGCCAGTTCAAGTGTGGTCGGACATCCGTGGAAACAGCTGCCATTCCTGGTCGCCCCCATTTAGCCATTGATGAGGACACTATCCATCAAGTGGAGACCGCCATTTTGGCAGACCGACGTATAACTGTTCGCCAGTAAGCACAAGATGTCAAGATCACTGTAGGGTCTGTGGACAAAATCATCCATGACAATTTGAACATGCATAAGGTGTCTGCACGATGGATTCCCAGGTTGCTCACACCTTTCCAAAAGCTGGAACGAGTCAATTGCTCAAAGGATCTTTTGGACATGTGCCTAAAAAAAACAGGCAAACTTTTTTGACAGACTTATCACACAGGATGAAACATGGGTCTATCACTATGATCCTGAGACTAAAGTTCAGTCGATGCAATGGAAGCATGTGGAGTCTCCACCCCCAAAGAAGGCACGTGTCCAACCCAATTACAGGAGCTTATTATGCTTCCTGCTGCGGAAATTGCGGGACGCTATCAAGCTTAAGAGGCGTGGCATGCTGACCAAGGGTGTCCGTCTCCTGGAAGACAATGCTCCAGTACACAACTCTCATGTTGCCCAGACAGAAGTGCGGTCCTGTGGCTATGAAATCCTTCCACATCCTCCTTACTCTCCTGACCTTGCACCATCTGACTTCCACCTCTTTCCAACCATGAAGTCATTTTTGAAGGGAAAACGTTTCACAGATGATGAAACACTGATTTCTGAAGTCAAGTCCTGGTTTGAGATGCAAAATGAGGGCTTTTACAAGCGTGGTCTCCATAGTTGCATAAAACGATGGGAGAAGTGTGTAACTCTTGGTGGTTCCTATGTGGAGAAAGACTAATACCTATGCCAAGTTTCATTCCACTAGGTCCATCGGAAGGGGGTCAGGGGAAATCTTTAATGAACACCCCCGTATATCCCCCCCTTCAAAGTATACCTGGGTAAATTCTGGGGCCATCCAGAATCTACGCGGAGTAGATTCTGGGAGCTCAAAGAATCTACCCCCTTTCCCAGAATCTACCCCGGGTTATAACTATAATCTAGGAGCTCCCAGAATCTACCCCGGGTTAAAACTATAATCTAGGAGCTCCCAGAATCTACCCCGGGTTAAAACTATAATCTAGGAGCTCCCAGAATCTACCCCGGGTTAAAACTATAATCTAGGGGCTCCCAGAATCTACCCCGGGTTATAACTATAATCTAGGAGCTCCCAGAATCTACCCCGGGTTATAACTATAATCTAGGAGCTCCCAGAATCTACCCTGGGTTATAACATAATCTAGGGGCTCCCAGAATCTACCCTGGGTTATAACTATAATCTAGGAGCTCCCAGAATCTACCCTGGGTTATAACTATAATCTAGGAGCTCCCAGAATCTACCCTGGGTTATAACTATAATCTAGGAGCTCCCAGAATCTACTCCAGCCCTGTTTGATTTAAACATTTTTTTTCATGAATGTACATGAAGTTTTATTTTTGGGGATGCATCTAACTCAATCTTGATCTCTTCTGGTCAATTGCTGTAACAACATTGTCATCTGTTTCGATCCCTGGTCACGTCATGCCAAAAGATGATAATAGGTGGTGCTTGATGTTACCCTGCCTGGTGCTCAACATTAAGGGGTTAATACAAGGACTGGTCAGCTCGGAGTCAGTATACTGTGTCTGAGTGTGGTATCCATGTTAAACTGCAGCATGGTATCTCAGTGGGCAAGCACTATAAAAATGGGGATTAGTTCGGACAAGTACAAGCATACAAGCACACCATCACCACCACCACCACCAGTCGCTAAATGCTAAATAATCTTGAATTCAACGTTGAACCCCATTTCACCTCACCTCCTAGACCTGACTGACAGCCGGGATCCATACTTTCACTGTCAGAATCTCCAGACTTGATGGCCTGGATTCACTTTGATGAACATCTGTCTCATTCCGATATATGGAAAATCCCAAATTTCTACTTTTCAGATTTGTTTCTTTCAACAACTACCACATCCCCCGTGATAACCTGTTGGACAAGTTCGGGGACGTCACACCTGAGGGTCGCTATGTTACCCCATACAAGGTATGCTGGCTGGTACAGCTGAAGTGTCCACACAGCAGTCAGTCCATATATTATCCTTGAAATATTCTCACGACCAGAAATCTAAGAGTTGAAGATGACCCCATTGTAAATATTGTATTTAGATAAAAATGAAGTGATATTACTTCCGAATACAATGAATAATTACCACATCATTTGGTATTGTTTGGTTCTGGGCTGTTTCCACCATTGTTTCCATGGTTACAGGATCCGAGCAAGAGGTTTGGCGCCTCCCTTGGCGCCCTGTCTGGTGGGAGAGTGGGCATCACAGGGATGTGTACGTGCAACATGAAGCTGGCTCTACCCATCGCTGTACGCTACTCCGCAGTGCGCAGGCAGTTTGGACCATCGGACAGTGAGATCCCAGTTCTGGAGTACCAGCTTCAGGTAGGAGCAGGGCGGTGGGGTAGCCCAGTGGTTAAAGTGTTTGCTCGTCATGCCAAAGACCCAGTTTCAATTCCCCACATGGGTACAATTTGTGAAGCCCATTTCTGGTGTCCCCTGTCGTGATATTGCTGGAATATTGCTAAAAATGGCATAAAACCATACTCACTCACTCAGGTAGGAGCAGTGTATGAATTTGTTTCCATAGTTCACAGCCAAGAGGGCTTGTTAACAAATATGTTGCAAGCCCTCATATTTTAATGGCCCAACTTGGTTGGCCACCTGTGAAGATGATCTGTGTTGCAAAGCGAATATCACTCAGATAATGCTTTCACTAGATGATATAACTCAGATAATGCTTTCACTAGATGATATAACTCAGATAATGCTTTCACTAGATGATATGACTGAGATAATGCTCTCACTGGACGATATGACTGAGATAATGCTCTCACTGGATGATATGACTGAGATAATGCTTTCACTGAGTGATATAACTCAGATAATGCTTTCACTGGCTGATATAACTCAGATATCGTCACGATATGGCTGAAATATTGCCGATGTGACGTAAAAGCTTTAACTCACTCACTATAACTCAGATAATGCTTTCACTGGCAGATATAACTGAGATACTGCTTTCACTGGATGATATGACTGAGATAATGCTTTCACTGGATAATATGACTCAGATAATGCTTTCACTGGATAATATAACTCAGATAATGCTTTCACTGGATGATATGACTGAGATAATGCTTTCACTGGATGATATGACAAAGATAATGCCTTCACTGGATGATATGACTGAGATAATGCTTCTACTGGATGATATGACTGAGATAATGCTTTCACTGGATAATATAACTCAGATAATGCTTTCACTGGATGATATGACTGAGATAAAGCTTTCACTGGATGATATAACAAAGATACTGCTTTCACTGGCTGATATGACAAAGATTATGCTTTCACTGGATGATATGACTGAGATAATGCTTTCACTGGATAATATAACTCAGATAATGCTTTCACTGGATGATATGACTGAGATAAAGCTTTCACTGGATGATATAACAAAGATACTGCTTTCACTGGCTGATATGACAAAGATTATGCTTTCACTGGATGATATGACTGAGATAATGCTTTCACTGGATAATATAACTCAGATAATGCTTTCACTGGATGATATGACTGAGATAATGCTTTCACTGGATGATATGACAAAGATAATGCCTTCACTGGATGATATGACTGAGATAATGCTTCTACTGGATGATATGACTGAGATAATGCTTTCACTGGATAATATAACTCAGATAATGCTTTCACTGGATGATATGACTGAGATAAAGCTTTCACTGGATGATATAACAAAGATACTGCTTTCACTGGCTGATATGACAAAGATTATGCTTTCACTGGATGATATGACTGAGATAATGCTTTCACTGGATAATATAACTCAGATAATGCTTTCACTGGATGATATGACTGAGATAAAGCTTTCACTGGATGATATAACAAAGATAATGCTTTCACTGGCTGATATGATTGAGATAGTGCTGTCATGTAGTCTATTATCTACAGTTGGGAGACTGGCTGGTGTGTTCATGTCCTGTTGATGTTGTGTTGCAGCAATGGAGACTTATCCCCTACATCGCAGCAATGTACGCTCTGGAAAACTTCTCCACCACATTCTTCATGGACTACGTCATGTTGAGGATCGGCATGATGGTCGGGGATAAGAGTGAGAAACAGGTGGGATTATTGTTGACCTGAAAGTAGAATAACTTATTATCTCTTGGTGTGTAAAAGCTAGATCACCTTGATCATTACCTTAAAATAGTTTGGTGCTTTATCATTTATGGAAGGAGAAAGCCATGTTAGTAAGCAAGGAATGATGATAGTGTAGATCTAACTGCTGTTTGTCTACTCACACGGTGGGGTCGTGTTGTAGGCGGAGCTGGGTCGGGAGATCCACGCAATCTCGTGTGCCAGTAAACCGCTGGCTGGCTGGCTGGCCAGGGACTCCATCCAGGAGTGCCGGGAAGCTTGTGGTGGTCATGGCTACTTCAAAGGTACGGTCTTCAGCTTCTTTGTAATGTTCATGGGGGCACGGGTGGCCCAGTCGTCTAGGCGCCACGATTCCCTGTGCAGAGTTGCGTCCCTTGGGCAAGCCAGAAACCTATGATTGTATGTTCGAATCCCGTTTCGCCCCGATTATGTTTCTAGGTTTGTCAGCACCATACCCGTGCTCGTGGGTTTCACCGAAGTGGTAAACGTCTGAGACCTGCATTACTTCGGGCTTTCTTCCCACATTAAGCTGACACGTCGCGATATAACTGTAAACTGTTAAAAGCGGCGTTAAACCCAACTCACTCACTCACTTGTAATGTTCATTTAAGTCCGGGATTTATCTTGTTGATGGAGTAGCAAAAATAGTCGTTTTTCATTTACAGATTAACAATCACCTTAGAAAGTGATGCTTTAGGGCTCAGACGTTATTCCATTAAAATTATTTGGCAAAGTACAGGTAACAGATTGGTAAACTAGGTTAAGTGAACACACTGTGGTGATAATAGCCACTTGCTGATATGTTTACAGAGGTAAGGATTTAAGAAAAGTCCTCATTTATGCACGTTTATTGTTGAGGATTTAGGAAAGTCCCTCACTGTATATCTACATGAGTCAGTGGTTGTTGCAGTGAACCGACTGGGCGACATCCGGAACGACCATGACCCCAACATGACCTATGAAGGTGACAACAACGTGATCCTGCAGCAGACCAGCAACTACCTCCTGGGCATGTACGAGATGGCCCAACAGAGGAAAGGTAGACCTAGTTGTGTGTCTGTGTGTGAGATGGCCCAACAGAGGAAAGGTAGACCTAGTTGTGTGTCTGTGTGTGAGATGGCCCAACAGAGGAAAGGTAGACCTAGTTGTGTGTCTGTGTGTGAGATGGCCCAACAGAGGAAAGGTAGACCTAGTTGTGTGTCTGTATGTGAGATGGCCCAACAGAGGAAAGGTAGACCTAGTTGTGTGTCTGTGTGTGAGATGGCCCAACAGAGGAAAGGTAGACCTAGTTGTGTGTCTGTGTGAGAGATGGCCCAACAGAGGAAAGGTAGACCTAGTTGTGTGTCTGTGTACGAGATGGCCCAACAGAGGAAAGGTAGACCTAGTTGTGTGTCTGTGTGAGATGGCCCAACAGAGGAAAGGTAGACCTAGTTGTGTGTCTGTGTACGAGATGGCCCAACAGAGGAAAGGTAGACCTAGTTGTGTGTCTGTGTGAGATGGCCCAACAGAGGAAAGGTAGACCTAGTTGTGTGTCTGTGTACGAGATGGCCCAACAGAGGAAAGGTAGACCTAGTTGTGTGTCTTTGTGAGATGGCCCAACAGAGGAAAGGTAGACCTAGTTGTGTGTCTGTGTACGAGATGGCCCAACAGAGGAAAGGTAGACCTAGCTGTGTGTGAGATGGCCCAACAGAGGAAAGGAAGACCTAGTTGTGTGTCTGTGTGAGATGGCCCAACAGAGGAAAGGTAGACCTAGTTGTGTGTCTGTGTGTGAGATGGCCCAACAGAGGAAAGGTAGACCTAGTTGTGTGTCTGTGTGTGAGATGGCCCAACAGAGGAAAGGTAGACCTAGTTGTGTGTCTGTGTGAGATGGCCCAACAGAGGAAAGGTAGACCTAGTTGTGTGTCTGTGTACGAGATGGCCCAACAGAGGAAAGGTAGACCTAGTTGTCTGTGAGATGGCCCAACAGAGATAAGGTAGACCTAGTTGTGTGTCTGTGTGAGATGGCCCAACAGAGGAAAGGTAGACCTAGTTGTGTGTCTGTGTACGAGATGGCCCAACAGAGGAAAGGTAGACCTAGTTGTCTGTGAGATGGCCCAACAGAGATAAGGTAGACCTAGTTGTGTGTCTATGTGAGATGGCCCAACAGAGGAAAGGTAGACCTAGTTGTGTGTCTGTGTACGAGATGGCCCAACAGAGGAAAGGTAGACCTAGTTGTCTGTGAGATGGTCCAACAGAGGAAAGGAAGACCTAGTTGTGTGTCTGTGTGAGATGGCCCAACAGAGGAAAGGTAGACCTAGTTGTGTGTCTGTGTGTGAGATGGCCCAACAGAGGAAAGGTAGACCTAGTTGTGTGTCTGTGTGTGAGATGGCCCAACAGAGGAAAGGTAGACCTAGTTGTGTGTCTGTGTGAGATGGCCCAACAGAGGAAAGGTAGACCTAGTTGTGTGTCTGTGTGAGATGGCCCAACAGAGGAAAGGAAGACCTAGTTGTGTGTCTGTGCGAGATGGCCCAACAGAGGAAAGGTAGACCTAGTTGTGTGTCTGTGTGAGATGGCCCAACAGAGGAAAGGTAGACCTAGTTGTGTGTCTTTGTGAGATGGCCCAACAGTGAAAGGAAGACCTAGTTGTGTGTCTGTGTGAGATGGCCCAACAGAGGAAAGGTAGACCTAGTTGTGTGTCTGTATGTGAGATGGCCCAACAGAGGAAAGGTAGACCTAGGGCATGTTCCTGTCCCACACTGAAGCACCTGTTTACTTGACAAATGACTGTCCACTCAAGAGTGAATGGGTACCCGGTAGGATTAGATGATATTGTGACTGTAAACCTTCTAGGGCCTTGTTGTTGTTGTTGTTGTTGTTCATGTGATAAGAAGTATGGTTTGTTGCCTATCAGGTCAGCAAATCCCCACGCCATTGAACAGTCTGGACTTTCTGGCCAACCTGGACAAGATTCTGTCATCTAAATTCACGAGTTCCACTGTGGAAGACTGTCTGAATCCACAAGGTAAGCTACAGACAAAGCTTTCTCATGCGCATCCTCAGCTGTGATAGTTGTATAATCTGTGATAGTTTTATAATCTGTGATAGTTGTATAACCTGGTCATAATATCTGACTGTTAAGGGTGTCAAAACAACAAAGCGACAGTTACAAGTTGTCTTATTGATTGATATTCAAGGTGTGTAAGGACTGCTTACAACCAGTCATGTGATAGTGTGACCCTGTGAGGAATCCAGGTTAAAATACCTGAGCAACCTCTCCTGGTCATGGATCCAATCAAATGGATCCGGTGGGAAGGTTTGGTTGACTTAATTGATTGCATGACATTATACCCTGACGGCATGGATCACTGCTCAAAGTATTAGTCACAGGATTGTCTGGTCCAGACCCGATTATGTACAGGTTGACACCATACAGCTGGAATATTGCTGAGTGTGGCGTTAACTACCAAACGTAAGGTTAATGTGCACTAATTACCATCACACTGTGTGTCATGCATGTATCATGCCGTCAGCTGACATAGTGATGCAGGCTCCCTGTTTGTTCAGTGTCCCTCGCGGCCTACCAGTGGCTGGTCTGCTACTTGATGAAGGACAGTACAGCCAGGCTCAAGCAGCAGTCAGCAGCAGGCAAGGACTCCTTCACGGCCAGAAATGACAGTCAGGCCTACTACTGCCGCAGTCTGGCACTGGCGTATATAGAGGTGGGATATTAGAGACTGTCTGGCACTGGCGTATATAGAGGTGGGATATTAGAGACTGTCTGGCACTGGCGTATATAGAGGTGAGATATTAGAGGCATTGTCTGGCACTGGTGTATATAGAGGTGCGATATTAGAGACTGTCTGGCACTGGTGTATATAGAGGTGGGATATTAGAGACTGTCTGGCACTGGTGTATTTAGAGGTGAGATATTAGAGACTGTCTGGCACTGGCGTATATAGAGGTGAGATATTGGACACTGTCTGGTACTGGCGTATATAGAGGTGGGATATTAGAGACTGTCTGGCACTGGTGTATATAGAGGTGAGATATTGGACACTGTCTGGTACTGGCGTATATAGAGGTGAGATATTGGACACTGTCTGGCACTGGTGTATATAGAGGTGAGATATTGGACACTGTCTGGCACTGGTGTATATAGAGGTGAGATATTAGAGACAGTCTGGCACTGTCTGGCACTGGTGTATAATAAGATGAGATATTAGAGATATTGTCTGGCACTGGCGTATAAAGAGGTGAGATATTAGAGATATTGTCTGGCACTGGTGTATATAGAGGTGAGATATTAGAGACTGTCTGGCACTGTCTGGCACTGGTGTATAATAAGATGAGATATTAGAGATATTGTCTGGCACTGGCGTATAAAGAGGCGAGATATTAGAGATATTGTCTGGCACTGGTGTATATAGAGGTGATATATTGGACACTGTCTGGCACTGGTGTATATAGAGGCGAGATATTGGACACTGTCTGGCACTGGTGTATATAGAGGTGAGATATTAGACACTGTCTGGCACTGGTGTATATAGAGGTGAGATATTGGACACTGTCTGGCACTGGCGTATACTGAGGTGAGATATTGGAGACATTGTCTGGCACTGGCATATATTGAGGTGAGATATTAGAGACATTGACTGGCACTGGCATATATTGAGGTGAGATATTAGAGACATTGACTGGCACTGGGATATATCGAGGCGAGATATTAGAGACATTGACTGGCACTGGCATATATTGAGGTGAGATATTAGAGACATTGACTGGCACTGGCATATATTGAGGTGAGATATTAGAGACACTGTCTGGCACTGATGTATATAGAGGTGAGATATTAGAGATATTGTCTGGCACTGGCGTATAAAGAGGTGAGATATTAGAGATATTGTCTGGCACTGGTGTATATAGAGGTGAGATATTAGAGACTGTCTGGCACTGTCTGGCACTGGTGTATAATAAGATGAGATATTAGAGATATTGTCTGGCACTGGCGTATAAAGAGGCGAGATATTAGAGATATTGTCTGGCACTGGTGTATATAGAGGTGATATATTGGACACTGTCTGGCACTGGTGTATATAGAGGCGAGATATTGGACACTGTCTGGCACTGGTGTATATAGAGGTGAGATATTAGACACTGTCTGGCACTGGTGTATATAGAGGTGAGATATTGGACACTGTCTGGCACTGGCGTATACTGAGGTGAGATATTGGAGACATTGTCTGGCACTGGCATATATTGAGGTGAGATATTAGAGACATTGACTGGCACTGGCATATATTGAGGTGAGATATTAGAGACATTGACTGGCACTGGGATATATCGAGGCGAGATATTAGAGACATTGACTGGCACTGGCATATATTGAGGTGAGATATTAGAGACATTGACTGGCACTGGCATATATTGAGGTGAGATATTAGAGACACTGTCTGGCACTGATGTATATAGAGGTGAGATATTAGAGGCGTAGTATGGAACTGGCAGATATAGAGGTGAGATATAGGAGAGTGTGTCTGGCACTAGCATATATAGACATGATATAGGCAACATATTTGGGTCACACTCCGGTACTGGCAGAAGGTGACATATTACAGTTTAGGTCTGGCACTGATAGAAAGGGAAGATATTCAGGCTGTCACAATTTACCTCAATATCAATGCTATGAGCATCTTCCCGAGGCAAGAGAGTTAACTGACTTTAAAAGTCCAGTTTCCACCCTTGCCGAACTAGGTTGGAATTCCTGGGCTCGATCGTAGCGCCATCAGTGGCTATTACGGGTTATGTCCTTTCTATGCCTCTCCTATTGACCAATCAGATTCAACCTCTCGTATCACTTGCATTTGCTTCAAACAAAACGGTGGCGCCCAGTCAAGACGGTCTGATCGATAATGAAGATCTATATTGTGATAAAACGAATCTTACAATGCGAAATGCATCAAATCACGTGAGCACCTTGATTAAAAAGATGAAAAGATTTAGAAAATATCTGTTGACAACGAGTTAGCGGTGCACATGCTTTGCAAATCTTGCAGTCGACCGAAATCTGCATGACACTTTACGAACCGGATTTCGATTTCGGTGCACGATTTTGATTGGACTATGCATAGACTCGTTAGTCCAGCCAAAATGTAACTCCATAATACCAGCCTAGTTCAGCAAGGGTGGAAACTGGACTTTTATAGTCAGTTAACTCACTTGCCTCGGGAAGATGTGCTATGAGGGATGGGTATTTTTAACACTTTAACATGGGTATTTTTAATACATGTACGTATCAATGTGAATCAAATAAAGCTGATACAAGTTGAAGTATTCTGTAAGTTAAGAACAAACTGGCAGTGCAAGCCTTGTGTAGGAGACAGAGAGAAATCTATACAGTAAACTGTGTATGTAATGAACATGCTTATGACAACAAACGGATATAATGAACTGCTTTTTGGTCCTGGCCATTTGCCGTATATATGCTGTATAGATGGTATATATGCTTATAATGAACGACTGAAATTAGAAACAAACTGAAATTAGTGGTCCCTTTGAGTTCGTTATAACCGTAGTATACTGGAGTTAATGACTTAAGCAAGCTGCTATCAGTGACATGAGGTTTTTTTGTTTGTAGTTGAATGTCTTGGACAGATTTGTGAAGCTGCTGGAAGAAAACAATGGGGAGCCGACACCTGCCGGCCTCAAGCCTGTGCTGACCCGCCTGTGTACGCTGTACGGCTTGTGGAGCATTGAGAAACACCTGACCACCTTGTACCAGGGTATGTACCTTTAGACAGAAATACCTGACCACCTTGTACCAGGGTATGTACCTTTAGACAGAAATACCTGACCACCTTGTACCAGGGTATGTACCTTTAGATAGAAATACCTGACCACCTTGTACCAGGGTGTGTACCATCAGACAGAAACACCTGACCACTTTGTACCAGGGTATGTACCATCAGACAGAAATACCTGACCACCTTGTACCAGGGTGTGTACCATCAGACAGAAATACCTGACCACCTTGTACCAGGGTGTGTACCTTCAGACAGATACACCTGACCACTTTGTACCAGGGTGTGTACCTTCAGACAGAAACACCTGACTACTTTGTACCAGGGTATGTACCATCAGACAGAAACACCTGACCACTTTGTACCAGGGTATGTACCATCAGACAGAAACACCTGACCACTTTGTACCAGGGTATGTACCTTTTGATAGAAATACCTGACCACCTTGTACCAGGGTGTGTGCCTTTAGATAGAAATACCTGACCACTTTGTACCAGGGTATGTACCTTTAGATAGAAACACCTGACCACTTTGTACCAGGGTGTGTACCATTAGATAGAAACACCTGACCACTTTGTACCAGGATGTGTACCATCAGACAGAAACACCTGACCACTTTGTACCAGGGTGTGTACCATCAGACAGAAACACCTGACCACTTTGTACCAGGGTGTGTACCATCAGACAGAAACACCTGACCACCTTGTACCAGGGTGTGTACCATCAGACAGAAACACCTGACCACTTTGTACCAGGGTGTGTACCTTTAGATAGAAACACCTGACCACTTTGTACCAGGGTATGTACCTTCAGACAGATACACCTGACCACCTTGTACCAGGGTATGTACCATCAGACAGAAACACCTGACCACTTTGTACCAGGGTATGTACCTTTAGACAGAAACACCTGACCACCTTGTACCAGGGTATGTACCATCAGACAGAAACACCTGACCACCTTGTACCAGGGTATGTACCTTCAGACAGATACACCTGACTACTTTGTACCAGGGTATGTACCTTCAGACAGATACACCTGACCACCTTGTACCAGGGTATGTACCTTCAGACAGATACACCTGACCACCTTGTACCAGGGTATGTACCATCAGACAGAAACACCTGACTACTTTGTACCAGGGTATGTACCTTCAGACAGATACACCTGACTACTTTGTACCAGGGTGTGTACCTGCAGACAGAAACACCTGACTACTTTGTACCAGGGTATGTACCTTCAGACAGATACACCTGACCACTTTGTACCAGGGTATGTACCTTCAGACAGATACACCTGACCACCTTGTACCAGGGTATGTACCTTCAGACAGAAACACCTGACTACTTTGTACCAGGGTATGTACCTTCAGACAGATACACCTGACCACTTTGTACCAGGGTATGTACCTTCAGACAGATACACCTGACCACCTTGTACCAGGGTATGTACCTTCAGACAGATACACCTGACCACTTTGTACCAGGGTATGTACCTTCAGACAGATACACCTGACCACCTTGTACCAGGGTGTGTACCATCAGACAGAAACACCTGACTACTTTGTACCAGGGTATGTACCTTCAGACAGATACACCTGACCACCTTGTACCAGGGTATGTACCTTCAGACAGATACACCTGACCACCTTGTACCAGGGTATGTACCTTCAGACAGATACACCTGACCACCTTGTACCAGGGTATGTACCTTCAGACAGATACACCTGACCACCTTGTACCAGGGTATGTACCTTCAGACAGATACACCTGACCACTTTGTACCAGGGTATGTACCTTCAGACAGATACACCTGACTACTTTGTACCAGGGTGTGTACCTGCAGACAGAAACACCTGACCACTTTGTACCAGGTTGTGTACCATCAGACAGATACACCTGACTACTTTGTACCAGGGTGTGTACCTTTAGACAGAAACACCTGACTACTTTGTACCAGGTTGTGTACCATCAGACAGAAACACCTGACCACTTTGTACCAGGGTGTGTACCTTCAGACAGAAACACCTGACCCTTTGTACCAGGGTATGTACCATCAGACAGATACACCTGACCACCTTGTACCAGGGTATGTACCATCAGACAGAAACACCTGACTACTTTGTACCAGGGTATGTACCTGCAGACAGAAACACCTGACCCTTTGTACCAGGGTGTGTACCATCAGACAGATACACCTGACTACTTTGTACCAGGTTGTGTACCATCAGACAGAAACACCTGACCACTTTGTACCAGGGTGTGTAACATCAGACAGAAACACCTGACCACTTTGTACCAGGTTGTGTACCATCAGACAGAAACACCTGACCACTTTGTACCAGGGTATGTACCATCAGACAGAAACACCTGACTACTTTGTACCAGGGTGTGTACCTTTAGACAGAAACACCTGACCACCTTGTACCAGGGTATGTACCTTCAGACAGATACACCTGACCACTTTGTACCAGGGTGTGTACCATCAGACAGAAACCCCTGACCACTTTGTACCAGGGTGTGTACCTTTAGACAGAAACACCTGACCACTTTGTACCAGGGTGTGTACCATCAGACAGAAACCCCTGACCACTTTGTACCAGGGTGTGTACCATTAGACAGATACACCTGACCACTTTGTACCAGGGTATGTACCTTTAGACAGAAACACCTGACCACTTTGTACCAGGGTGTGTACCATCAGACAGAAACCCCTGACCACTTTGTACCAGGGTGTGTACCATTAGACAGATACACCTGACCACTTTGTACCAGGGTATGTACCATTAGATAGAAATACCTGACCACTTTGTACCAGGGTATGTTCCATCAGACAGAAACACCTGACCACTTTGTACCTGGGTGTGTACCATTATATAGAAATACCTGACCACTTTGTACCAGGGTATGTACCATCAGACAGAAACACCTGACCACTTTGTACCAGGGTATGTACCATTATATAGAAATACCTGACCACTTTGTACCAGGGTATGTACCATCAGACAGAAACACCTGACCACTCTCTACCAGGGTATGTACCATCAGACAGAAACACCTGACTACTTTGTACCAGTGTATGTACCATTAGATAGAAACACCTGACCACTTTGTACCAGGGTATGTACCATTAGATAGAAACACCTGACCACTTTGTACCAGGGTGTGTACCATCAGACATAAACACCTGACTACTTTGTACCAGGGTATGTACCATTAGATAGAAACACCTGACCACTTTGTACCAGGGTGTGTACCATCAGACAGAAACACCTGACTACTTTGTACCAGGGTATGTACCATCAGACAGAAACACCTGACTACTTTGTACCAGGGTATGTACCTTCAGACAGATACACCTGACCACCTTGTACCAGGGTATGTACCTTCAGACAGATACACCTGACCACCTTGTACCAGGGTATGTACCTTTAGATAGAAATACCTGACCACCTTGTACCAGGGTATGTACCTTTAGACATAAACACCTGACCACCTTGTACCAGGTTGTGTACCTTTAGATAGAAATACCTGACCACCTTGTACCAGGGTATGTACCTTGAGATAGAAATATCTGACCACTTTGTACCAGGGTATGTACCTTTAGATAGAAATACCTGACCACCTTGTACCAGGGTATGTACCTTTAGATAGAAATACCTGACCACTTTGTACCAGGGTATGTACCTTTAGATAGAAATACCTGACCACTTTGTACCAGGGTATGTACCTTTAGATAGAAATACCTGACCACTTTGTACCAGGGTATGTACCTTTAGATAGAAACACCTGACCACTTTGTACCAGGGTGTGTACCTTTAGATAGAAATACCTGACCACCTTGTACCAGGGTATGTACCTTTAGATAGAAATACCTGACCACTTTGTACCAGGGTATGTACCATTAGATAGAAATACCTGACCACTTTGTACCAGGGTATGTACCATCAGACAGATACACCTGACCACTCTGTACCAGGGTGTGTACCATTAGATAGAAACACCTCAGCACTTTGTACCAGGGTGTGTACCATCAGACAGACACCTCACCACTTTGTACCAGGGTATGTACCATCAGACAGAAACACCTCACCACTTTATGGGCAGGCAAGGGATATTCCGACCAAGGGAGTTTACATTTCAAACCAAAACTGATGAGAAGTGTTTCTCTGACTTGTAAACCGTTGAAACAACATTTCTCAGTATTTGTTTAATATTTTGTATAAAAGTGTGTTACGACAGTCTATAGAAACGCTAATAAACTATGTCTGGCCAGGAAATATGATACGTTCCACTGAACCACCTATCTTGAACCAGTTCTGTGGTCTAATGGTTAGATTGCCTGACTTCTGATCAGGAGGCTGTGGATTTGATTCCCATCATCCTTAATGAAAAAGTTTTACTATTGCATTAAAACGGGTCTTACCTCGCGAAGTGCATCAAAGCACTTGGAAACGTTGTTAAGAAATGTGAAATATTTGGAAGATGTTGAGGTCCAGCTGATGGTACACATGCTTTGCAAATCCTGCAATTGACCAAAATCTGCACAGCAGTCGCCATGTTATTTATGAACCAGACGTCAGTTTCGTAATGCAATTTTTTGTTGTACTATGCATGGCCTGCCAAAATATAACTCAGAAATTCCCACTTAGTTCGACAAACCTGGGAAACTGGTGGTTGTGGTTGTGGTTGTTGTGGTTGTGGTGGTGGTGGTGGTGGTGATGCTATGGTCAGTTAACTCCCTTTCCTCGCGAAGATACAGGACACAAGTTTAACGTCTAACATTATTGGGAAGGGAAAAATAACAAAACAAACAGCAACCAACCTGGAAGTCTATACAGGACAGTACACATCAACCCACAATGCAGTAGATCATGTGTTGTGGCCAACAGAATACATAAACAGTTTCAAATGAAAATGATAAAACTTTGACATCCTACTAGATTACTTTGTTATATACAAGACCAGTTACAGCAAGGCTTACTATTCATGGTCCAGAATGCATTATACATCAGGGTTAAAACTAAACTCAACAGCTTTCCTGGCCCGGGTAAAGATGAACTGCCCTTGTAATGTTACAGCAAAGGGAAGTTTGTAAATTTGTACTAGCCTGCAGGAATTTGTACTAGCCCCAGGCTAGCAGGCTAGTGTAAGTTCTAACGCTGTCCATGCCTTCCCATTGTGCAGGTGGCTACATCACTGGCAGCAGTCCTCCCCGTGTGGTGAGGGAGGCCATCCTCCGCTTGTGTCAGGAGCTGAAGAACGATGCCGTCGCCCTCGTGGATGTGATGGCGCCCACCGACTTCATCCTCAACTCACCCATAGGAGCATCTGACGGACAGGTGAGTTACACAATTGCTACACACCTGTAAGAGCATCTGACGGACAGGTGAGTTACACAATTGCTACACACCTGTAAGAGCATCTGACGGACAGGTGAGTTACACAATTGCTACACACCTGTAAGAGCATGGGGTGGACAGTTACACAGTTACACAGAATTGACGTTTGTGCCATGTATTCTTGTATACAAACCCGTGAAGTAATGACAGCTATGTACAGTATCAAACACTACAGCGTGCATCTCTCTTCAGATTTACAAGAATCTATACGGCGCCATGATGCAGGGAGAGGACGTGCTGCAGCGACCTGATTGGTGGAGAGAATTTGTGAACAAGCCTGTGATTCGTCAGCCTAAATCAAACTTGTGATTGGCCTGCTAAGACAAGAGACTTTAAAGCTCATTCCGTGAAAGATGACTGAGAACAAAGACTTTATTTAATGCATAATGTCTGTGATTCTGTACATGAGAGAGAAATGCTGAGTGTTGAATGAAGATAGTACTTGTGTTCGAAACTAACGGCAGTCCTGGGGTCCTGATGTTTGCTCTTGTAGTATTTGAAACCCTCGATTTGGATCCATTAACATTAGGCTTATGACAAGACCCTTTGACTTTCTTGCTTAATCTCGAACATTGTAGTAACGTCATTGTATTTTAACTTTGGCAAATGTTGTGTGAAAGATTATTTTGTGTTTGTGCTGCTGAAATTATGGGTGGAAAACAACTATTACCCTGACAAACAGCATGTCTTTAAGTTGTATTAGAAGCTATTGAATCAACGAAGACAGGAGTGAACATGCATTTCAACTTTCAGTCTTTTGCACAGGTACTTGTGCCTCTGTGAGAGTGTCCGTCACAGTAGCTTGAACCTCAGTTACACAATATTCAGAAGGGATATACAGTCGAACCTTGCTTATCTGGACACTTGCGTTTTCTCAAATATTGTCCGGATAAACAAGTTACTGGATATCTGAATCCCTTGTTAACTGAGTTTTCTCCCCTGACCAAATTCAACCGAGGTATAAACAAGGTGTTATCTCATAGTATGTCACCCAATCACTCAGGCAAATCACCTCATTGTCAAATGACAATAACTGACCAACAAACTATCGAGAGATGTAACTAAATAACACAGTGATCACATGATACCCTCTTTGATGTTGGCTGCTGGGTGATAAGTTGTATAACAACCATCGTCAAGCGCGGTCGCTGTCCGGAAAGTGGGACACAATAGTGTGCATGTTGTAGGGCTGGGACAAGTCCAAATATACTACCCAGGTACCCGCCCCCCTATTATCCTACCCTACCCGGGTACCCACTGTAGGTCTCAGGAGATCTCTCAAAATGTCCGATTGGGAACTTTTTTAGCATAGCCCTGTATTAAACAATCTGGTCATGCATACACTGAAGTTGACTTAAGTTATATCTTTATTCATCCATATGACAAATCAGAAGGAATGGGTGCATAGTCAGAAAGAAAAGTGAACATTAATGACTTGTAGTGTAACCATAGAGTTCCAGATAATTTTAGTCATTAGACAATATATCACGTGACTAACCACGGGTCCGGGTTATCCTGTGGGTACCCGGGTAATCCTGTGGGTACCCGGGTCCTACTCAGTACCCACCCGACCGGGGTACCCGAGTTACACGTCCCAGCCCTAGTATGCTGGTCATTGAAATTCACTGTCCAGATCTGGAAACCAGATTTTCAGATAAAGGAAGCATTTTAGTATTTATTTCGTTTCACATAAATATTTCCGGTTCTCTAGGGTCTGGTTCTCTGGGTCTGGTTTAGCAGGGCTCCACTGTAGCGTGTAAGTCAGGAGCTTCAGGTGTACAACTCAACCTGCAACACGCCAAATAGTGATAACATAGTTATTCTTAATTAGTCTGGAATTCGAATAGCTTTCAGAATAACTTCTTTGAGTGGCATTTAGAATAAGAAATTGTTCATCCATATATCATGTCCTTACTTACCGTATATGCCTGCAGATAAGCCCACCCCGTAGATAAGCCGAGGTATTAAGTTGACCATTGAAATATGAAAGAAAATGATAGATAAGTTGAACCAGGAAGTGAAAGGCACATGGCGAAGTCGGACTGCAAGACTGTACCGGTACTTGCAGATATTCAATAATATAAGATGAAAAACATTGTAATTATATTGAAAAAGTCATTATAATTTCTAATAAAAATTTAACAAACCAGTCATCCACTCCCCTAATGTGGGAAGCTGTTTCTGTTTTGTTTTTTTATTATGATCCTTGGTTTATGCTCATGGGTTTTTGCCAGAATGATAAATACCTGAGTGAATATGGTTTTACGCCGCTTTTAACAATATTCCAGCAATATCACTGCGGGGGACACCAGAAATAGGCTTCACACATGGTACCTATGTCAAGAATCGAACCCGGGTCTTCAGCGTGACGAGAGAACCCTTTAACCACCAGGCTATCCGACGGCCCCATTATAAATATCTAAGACTTGCACAATTTTCCTTCCACTGTCATTGCTTATAATTAAATTTCGACAACGAAAACATGTTTCATTTACAATAGTTTAACTGAAAACAGTTGCATATATATACTCAACAACAAAAGTTCCTGTGACACCGATATTTTAGTGTATTTTTCAAACAAGTAAAGTTTGGTTTTCAATATTGTAGTACATGTATGGAATCAAGTCACAAAAACGCAACTGCTTCAGAAAAGCATGCATTCCATGCAAAAGTTTACTTTTATGCAAGCCCCATGCATTTCACTACCCAAGAATGAGTATAAAAACATGCGTTAACGGGATTCCATATGCATTGTTTAGCATCATGCTGACAACAACCACTCAGAAAAACAACAAAATTTCGCAATTATTAAACATTACGAAATGCCACGCCTGTCCAAAAATGAGCGTCTGCGAGCCGTTGGTATGCTTGAAGCAGGATCGAGTCAACATGATGTTGGAAGACAATTTAACGTCCACAGAAACACCATTTGGTGTTTATGGCAACGTTGGCAACAGACGAATGCAGTCAGAGACCATCCTCGGAGAGGCCAATAATCGACAAGACAACTGGATTCGAACAACACACCTACAAATTCAATTCCAGCCAGCAACAGTGACTGCAAGAAGCATCCCTGGCCTTTGACGAATATCTCCACAAACCGTACGTCGTCGCCACAGTTGGGCAGGGATTGTCGCCAGAAGACCTTCCCGACGTCCAATTTTGACAGGAAACCACCGTCAAGCACGTCTACAGTGATGCAGACAGCGTCTATGCTGGACAGCCATGCAGTGGGGACATGTTCTATTCACTGACGAGTCTCGTTTTCACCTCAGCAACAGCGATGGACGGATTCGAGTGTACCAATGTCGAGGTGAACGTTACGTCAATCATTGTGTCATGGAAGAAGATCGGTTCGGGGGCGGCAGCATTATGGTATGGGGTGGGATTACAGCAAGAAAGAGGACCCATTTGATAGTGGTAGAGGGAAATCTCAATGAACAGAGCTACCGCGACGAGATCATCGGCCCTATTGTTCTACCGTTTTTGCGTCATCATGGTCCAGGCATTACCTTTCAACATGACAACGCCCGGCCTCATATTGCTCAATGTGTTCAGGATTGTCTTCAACAAAACAACGTGAATGTCATCCCCTGGCCGGCTCGCTCCCCTGATTCTCACCAATCGAGCACATGTGGGATGAGATGGATCGGCGCCTTCTACAACAACCACGTGTTCCACAGACACTCCAGGAACTTCGAAACATGCTCCAGCAGATATGGACAGATATCCCCACGACTTTGTCGACGCCTGGTCCATTCCATGAGACGAAGATGTGTTGCTTGCATCGCAACCAGAGGTAGACACACACGCTATTGATTTGTAAATTGACATTTTGGTATGTTCATGGGTTTTTTATGAAATCACGCATTTTCTGAAGTCAGTATGGCAAATAAAACCATTTGAACACTTACAGGAGTCTGTTATCTGTTGGAAACTGAATAAGATTTAATGCAAAGTTAAGTTTTAATACCAAATCTGAAACAATTTCAATGTCACAGGAACCTCTGTTGTTCAGTATATAAGAGCAGACAAAAATGACGAGATTGATAAACATTCCAGATGTAGGAATACATACTGTGGCGTGACATTGATCAGATGATTGTTTAATATATACACTTAACTTGACACGCCTTCAAAGTCAGTAGCCAATCAACAGAGAGTAAGATCAAAACAAAGTTCATAGGACCTGTCAATCAAGGCAAGAGGCGAGAAGAACTGCAAACAGTCAGACTGTAATGAGCCGGAACAAATATGTCCGTGAGAAGGCGGCCGTTTCAAATGGCTTGGTCAGTTTCAATCATTATGTCCCTGAGAACGGGAAGATAAAATGTTGGATAAAATTCTAGTTAGAAATGAAACCGAAGACATAAAAGTTGTGGAACCGAGGCGAGCGGGAAAAAATACAGGCGAGCGAGACTGCACGTTTGCTGTTTCATTCCTTCTCGGCCTTCGGGTTCAAAGGGTAGTTTGGACAATGAATATGCATGAAAGTTGCTTAATGTCCTGTGCATAACGATACACGTGAGCAGAAAGTTAATTCCCTCGACTGTAATATTGGGATTCCCCGACATTCCGTAATAAAAGTAATAAAAGTAGTCCGCTTCAGTGGGCGTGGCTTAATTTTTTACATTCATTAGAAAATGAATGCAATAACACGTGACCAATTCAGGTAATCAGAATGCAGGAATTTCAATGAACACAAAGAAAATTTAATTTAATTTCATGTGTTATAACTGAAATAGTGTTAAAGTGGCATTAAGCCAAACTCTCACACTCACGCTCCATGTCTAGTCACCATGTGTTTAAGGTTTCCAGAATGTTTCTCTCGTAAATTTCAAGTGCTCAGCAACACTATGACAACTATACTCACCAACAAAAGAAACGCAAATACCATACATGTTGGTTAATATATGAGGAATTACTCATATTCAAGAGATATTAGATTGGTTCTATGCACAAATGAACATACGCATCATTATTTATTATGTGACGTCCCAGATCCATGCACCATTTGTGTCGTACAGGATAGCGTGTAAAGTTTGGAAATCACGTAAAAGCATATCGTGATTAGAATGAAGACAGTATGTGGTAACACATGACTGATTGTTAGTTTTGTCATTAAGTGGTACACATTGGAAACATCTCTTCTTACTCAAAATGTTCCTATGGTTTGCATTTATTTTGGCGTTAAGTATTTATGGGTAAGTGAACACAAGTGATATATGGGACAGAAAAGCATGGGAAGTTTGTTTAAACATTTGCAACATATAGTCAGCCTGACATATCATTTATTTATTTTGTGTAAGGAGTCAAACTGAGATTTGTCACTTTCTGACATTTATAAGAATGTAATAATTTATTGCTTTAGATATCTTGCCATTGTGATATTTGAAGATTATTTTGATACTACAAGAATGAATATCAGCTTGTATCTAGTGCGGTTAACAGTCCAAAAGGATGTTATCTGAACAAGTGTGAATAAAGAAAGTATTCATGTAACGTGTAGCCTAGAGGTTAAAGCGTTCCCTCGTCACGCCGAAGAGTGAGTGAGTGAGTTGGGTTTAACGCCGCTTTTAACAGTATTCCAGTTATATCACGGCGTGTCAGCTTAATGTGGGAGGAAAGCCCGAAGTGATGCAGGTCTAAGACGTTTACCACTTCGGTGAAACCCACGAGCACGGGTATGGTGCTGACAAACCTAGAAACATAATCGGGGTGAACCGGGATTCGAACCCACAATCATAGGTTTCTGGCGTATCCAGGGGACGCAACTCTGCACAGCGAATCGCGGCGCCTTAGACGACTGGGCCACCCGTGCCCCCTCACGCCGAAGACCCGAGTTCGAAACCCGACATGGGTACAATGTGTGAAGCCCATTTCTGACGTCCCCTGCCGTGATATTGCTGGAATATTTCTAAAAGCGGCGTAAAACCGCACTCACTCACTCACTCACTCACTCACTCATGTAACGTGTAGGATTCTTCTTTTGGTCAAACAATAACATCAAACGCAATCTTTTTTTGTGGTGTGCACCATCCAGCGATATTTAAACATTATTTCATTGTAGATTAGTTATTTGAGGTAACGTACTGTGTTGTTAGTCCCAATAGATGTTTCTAGGTTCGTCAACACTTTCTCCTCGCTGTATCAGTGAAGTGATGCTTGTTTTCCATGGACTGCTTCTTCAGCTTGACTTCCACGAGCACAGGCATGGTTCTGACAGACCTGGACACATGGGCGAACCAGGTTTCGAACCCACAATCATAGGTTTCCACTTGTGCCCAAGGAACCGGCCTTTGAGTG